ATCTTATCTATCCTATCTATCCTATCTATCCTATCTATCCTATCTATCCTATCTATCCTATCTATCCTATCTATCCTATCTATCCTATCTATCCATCCTATCTATCCTATCTATCCTATCTATCCTATCTATCCTATCTATCCTATCTATCCTATCTATCCTATCTATCCTATCTGTCCTATCTATCCTATCTATCCTATCTATCCTATCTATCCTATCTATCTATCTACCTATCTATCTATCCTATCTATCTATCTATCTATCCTATCTATCTATATCTATCATCTATCTATCCTATCTATCCTATCTATCCTATCTATCCTATCTATCCTATCTATCCTATCTATCCTATCTATCCTATCTATCCTATCTATCCTATCTATCCTATCTATCCTATCTATCCTATCTATCCTATCTACCCTATCTACCCTATCTACCCTATCTACCTATCTATCCTATCTATCCTATCTATCCTATCTATCCTATCTATCCTATCTATCCTATCTATCCTATCTATCATATCTATCTATCTATCTTATCTATCTAATCTATCTAATCTATCTATCTATCTATCTATCCATCCTATCTATCTTATCTATCCTATCTATCTTATCTATCCTATCTATCTATCTATCTATCTATCCTATCTATCTATCTATCTATCTATCTATCTTTCTTTCTTTCTTCTTTCTTTCTTTCTTTCTTATCTATCTATCTGTCTAGCTGTCTACCTGTCTATGTTTTGTGCAGTGTCATTCAGTGTAATGTAGTGTAGTGTAATGTAGTGTAATGTAGTGGAGTGTAGTTGTAGTTGTAGGTGGTAGTGGAGTGTAGTGTAGAGTAGTGTCGTGAAGTGTAGCGGCAGGTAGTGTAGTGTAGTGTAATGTAGTGTAGTGTAGTGGAGTCTAGTGTAGTGTAATGTAGTGTAGTGTAAGGTAGTGTAGTGTAGTGTAGAGTGTGTAGTTGTGTAGTTGTAGTAGTTTTAGTTGTAGTGTTGTGGAGTGTAGTGTAGTGTAAGGTAGTGTAGTGTAGTTTAATGTTGTGTAGTGGAGTGTAGTGGAGTGTAGTTGGGTAGGTGTAGTTGTATTTGTAGTGTAGTGGAGTGTAGTGTAGTGTAATGTAGTGAAGTGTAGTGTAGAGAGTGTAGTGCAGTGTAATTTAGTGTAGTGGACTGTAGTGGACTGTAGTGGACTGTAGTTGTGTAGTTGTAGTTGTAACCTGTAGTGTTGTGAAGTGTAGTGTAATGTAATGTAGTGTAATGTAGTGTAGTGCAGCAAAGTGTAGTGTCATGTAGTGTAGTCGAGTTAAGCGAAGCAACATCTGAACCGCCAAAAGTGGTCCGAAACCCTAGTGTTTTTAACATGTTAACTTCCAAATCTGCTTCGCGCCACAACGGCGTGCACTTTTTCGAAACTCGACATCTCAGCCTCCAAAAGTGGTCCGAACATGGTGTGGTTTGTACATTTTGACTTCGAAATGTGCTTCGCGCCACAGCGGCGTGCACTTTTTCGAAACTCGACCTCTGAGCCTCCAAAAGTGGTTCGAACCCCTGGTGTTTTGCACATTTTGACTTCGAAATGTGCTTCGTGCCACAACGGCGTGCACTTTTTCGAAACTCGACCTCTGAGCCTCCAAAAGTGGTCCGAACCCCTAGTGTTTTTAACATTTTGACTTGGAAATGTGCTTCGCGCCACAACGGCGTGCACTTTTTCGACATCTTAAGTGCCAAAAGTGGTCCGCACTTGGTGTGTTTTCTACATTTTGACTTGGACATGTGCTTCGCGCCACAACGGTGTGCACTTTTTCGACATCGCAACTTCCAAAAGTGGTCAGACCCTGGTGTGTTTTGTACATTTTGACTTGGGGATGTGCTTCGCGCCACAACGGCGTGCACTTTTTCGACATCTGAAGCGCCAAAAGTGGTCCGATCCTCTGGTGTTTTGTGCATTTTGACTTGGAAATGTGCTTCGCGCCACAACGGCGTGCAATTTTTCATGTCTCATCTCCCCATATGTCTCCGCACCCGCCGCTTTAGCGAGCCTACTTTTCGACCCTCCGGAACCACAAATCATTGGAAAAACACAGTGAATCGCGACTTTCCTACCTTTTCGCGCATCTGCATCTTCTTTCTTCTGACTCTTTCTCTTCTGAACTTTCTCTTCTCTCTGCCTCTGCCCTGCTCTGCTTTTCATCTGTCCATATTGTCGGAAGTTTAGCTTCTCAACTTCCTTCGACAATATAGTTAAAGATATGTATCTATATATATATATATATACACATAATAATTCCATGATATATATATATATACTAAATAATCTCAATATACATATAGATTCGTATATATATATATATGCATACTCTACCCAGCAATTGTGGGATATTGCGCTTTGGCTAGTGGTTGCCGAAGCATAATCGCTGCCCCTTGCTCAGCATATCTAGATCATTTGGTGGATTTTCCGCAAGGGTTCCTCCAAGATATTCTCTTCAACCAAAAGACTTCGCTAATGACATTTCAATATGTTTCATATATATGTATATTCGTATATATATAGTTATCATGTATAATAACTAGAACACCTATAATGACTAGAATTACTATAATAACTAGAACATAATTATCACAACTATATTGAACCCCCCCCTTCGATTCCCCCAAGGTCCGCCTCTAAAGCCGCGTTTGCAAGAAGTCACCCCGCGGGCCCACTTTTTGCACCAAGATTCCAGCACCAGGATAGCCCTAAGTCAGTTGCTTTGGGTACATGCTGGGGTCAAAACACCACGTTTGTGAATCCCACACTGTTCTACACATGTACACACCAGAATCAACCCCATCCGCGTTGCAACAATGTGCTGCCCCCAGTTACACGTTGCCTCGCAAACCCCATAACCTGATATTTATACATATATCTAACTATATGTATGTATTTATATATATATATATGTCTGTGTGTCTGTGTGTGTGTCGTGTCCCCCCTCCCTGAAACCTACCTTTTTGGTACCCGCCCTCGAGTCCAAGCCCAGAAGACTTTTTTCGATATCCGCCCCAACTCCACCCACGTCCGTCCGCAGCGGATATGCCTCGTTCCCTTGCTCTCTTCTCCTGTTCCAACCCACGCCTACCTTTCGATCTTTCACCCTTCCCTCTCAAGTTCGGAATTCTTGCGCCGCAAATATGTAAAAATGTCAGAGCAGTTGGAAAGAGCAGAAACCTTCATTCTTTGTCTCCATTTCTGGATTCGTTCCAAACGAATTTTTTGAACAAGTTTATCACGAGCAGAAACCAGAAAATCCAACACTTCGTTAACTGTTTCCTGTGAAGGCCAAATGGGCAAAAAAGGGCCCTTCAAAGATTTTACCAATGTTCTGACACGTTTCCAAGCAGCAACAACAATGCTTTCCGCGTGCTGTTTCATCACCGGGTTGGAAATTTTGAAAGATATATCATCAAGGCGGCAAATAGCCTTGGAGATCGCCATCAAAGTCTTGGTGTTTTGGTCTTTTGTATTTTGACAACATGCAAACCGATTGAAAGGTTTCAAATCGGGGAAGGTTCCACGTTTTTGTGACCCATGCTTCCATCTAGCACCCGACATTGTCAAAATTTTAATTGCAAAATCATTGGCAACGGTCATCAGAGATTCAGCTGAAAAAGCATCATTGGTGAGCTCACGAAATTCTTTCTCCCACAAATTTTGCGCAATCTTTGTTCGTTCACTTTCAGATTGCAACTGAGTGAGATCGAAAGACGCATGAGGAACCCATTGCAAATTACTGCTACGGTCATCAGATCGATTGGAAGGCCACTGAAATGTGGCGTCCACGAATGCGTGTTGAAGGCCTTTGGAAACATGGACCTTGACATCTTGCAAATATTGAAGTGCACAGTTATTGAGCAAAATTCCGTCAATGGAGGTGGCAGGACCACCAACCCAAGCACTATCCCTTGAATATGTAATGGGCCGACACATCCCATCTTCATTGAACTGTGTCAACACATCATGAAAAGCTCCAAACGACATAGCCTCAGCGATGCATGGATACATGTGAGGTTCAGCCTGAAAGTCAGCGGCAATGGCAATCGGAATTTCACCATGCTGGGAAAGCCATTCAAAAATGTCCCTGAAAAGTTGATTGGTGCGAGCCATTTTGCTGGAGTCACTCTGAGCACCAGAAAAACCATAGACCGACACCACCAACAAAGTCAAACGGTCAGAAACAGCCACCCACGCAGCAGTGCATCTACCAGAAGCCACAAGGTTCTGATAAATCCTGGAGCAATCATCTTTCGGATCATAGGGCTTGCTTGAACCACAGGCGGAGGCAATGGCAACTCCCCCATATTCAGGTAGGCCCCCCGGCAAATATTTCATCAAAGCGCCATGATGCAAGGTCAAAGAATTGTTTGAAGCCTCTAAATTAACTTTGACCAAATTGTAATTTGTCACTCTGGTTTCCTGGATCGCAAGGCAATTTGTCTTGTGCATAAGTGCCTCTGGGTGTTTCTCAAGGCTTCCAACGTTGATGGAAGATAACGTCCAACCCTCGCCAGGAAAGCCGCAAGAGGAGTCGAATTGGCATCTCGAATTGGGAGGCCAAGCAGGCGAAGAATTCACCGCAATTTCTACTTGAACATGCACCAGATAGGGCCTGTGCCTATCTACAAACAAAAAGTTGTTTCCGTTGAAAAAGCCAGAAACACACAACACCATAAAACGATGCCAGCTCTTCGGAAAGCACCTGAGAGTATCAAATATGCGACCATCAGCCATCAAAAATGGAACGACCCAAGTCATTGCCAAACACAGCAAATGCGTCCATTGAACATAAACTTTCTCAAAACTGTGACCCCGAAAAAGGGGCCAAATCGCTGCAAGCATCACCAACAAAACTGCTCTGAACCTGTTTCCGACCCGACCGAAAAAAGCAGGATCCCGGGGGATCTGCTCTGGCATAGAAGAACTCGGCAAAGTCTGGAAACAGGCTCGATTTTCAATGAAGAGTCACTGATTCCTTTGGGATTTCGAGGGTGGCGTTTCACCCGTGTGGCCGTCTTGGCGAGCTCGGAAAGAATGGGCTTCACTTTTGGGCACAACCGCAGCAAGGACCTGCTTCAACTGATCGGAGACCACATCAAATTTGTCGTCAATCTTCTTTGACAACTCTACTTGGCCATGCTCCAACTTCGAAACTCGATCGGCCAATTGCTGATACTTTCGGTCATCACCCGAAACATTGATCTGTGTGGCACTTGTTGCATTCGCGGCTGGTCCTGAGGAACCTTTGCCATGGGGTGACTTAAGTCTCCATGGTTTGGGCACCGACGCAATGGAGCCATTGAATCCGCTCTTCTTCTTTGGGATTTGAATCTTGTTCGAACTTTGAGGGGTCATGACAATTTCAAAAAGTTTGGAATCCATCTTTACCGTGAAAGTATTGCATGCTGGCTGCTCTCCAAACGCAAGGACCCACGTAATCATGCCGCCATCTCTGTAACTGCGCAGTGGAATCGGGGCCGTCTTCACAGCAGTGAACGTGGCTTCGATGAGGCTTTTGTGAGAGATGGCCCAAGGGTACCCCTGACAAATGAACACATATTTGCTGACCACAGCCCTGTTGAGGTCGGTGAACCTCATGTCTGTTTGCAAAACCAAAGCACGAGCATCAGCCAACTTCGCATTTCTGGCACGAATAGCCACACCTTTGGCTGTCAAGGCTAGCCCTCTATATCCATCCCCTACCGATTCACCCAGAAGTTTGGCACTACGGACGTCTTCAGGGTTGATTGCAAAATATCTAGGCAAAATCGAGTGATTCGTCTCCTCCTGAGGTTGGATGAATTGTCTCACAAAGAGCTCAGCTTGCCCCGAATGTTTGAGCAGCTCATCAAGAGAGCCATGGGGGATCTTCATCATGCATTGGTGTATGATCTGATCATCAGCGCATTTCATTTTTCGATAGCTATAGATGGACATTTCAGAAAGGGCGATTCCACTGGCTGTGATCAATTTCTTGAAGCAACCCAGAGGGTGATCCTCCATCATCGCAACAGTATTGTGCGTCATGCAACCTGAATGCGTTTCAACAACCAGTTCGGAAAAGCTAGCAGAATCAACATTGACAACGCCTGGTGTTTCTTCAACTTTGTACTCCACATTTCCTTTCAGCACGAAAGGAACAACAAGTCGCTTGTACTGAACATTCGAAGCAGGTTCCCTAACCGTAATTTGCTGCGATGCCAGCATCATCAAATTCTTGGGAACATCGAGATTCTGCAACCCTCGAAAACCTGGGATCAGCAACAAGGTCGTTGATGATGGGGCTACTTGTGAGAGCTCATGAAGATCAGCCTTAGTGACAAAGACCACTCCTCCTTTGTCGGGCCCCAGCTGGACCCCGGGGATTTGGTTAAGACGTTTGCCAGTGTCTTTGCAAAACCGTGGGTGGTTCTCCATCAACTGAAGCTGATCCCACCGGCATCCACCATTCGATGGGACAATCTTGGCCCAAGGATCATTCTGCTGCAAAAAGTCACTTGAATTTGTTTTTCCTTGTGCTTTGCCATTTCCTTTGCCCCCTCCCGGAAGAGGAAAAGCTCTCAAACGAATCAAAGGAATTTCAATTTCACCAACCCTTGTATCCAGAGAAACGAGCTTCCCGTTGACTGAAGGTGAGATTCGATCAATCAAAGCATTGGGCTGAACGGCAACCTGCAACACATCGCGAATCAGGCAGTTGGGGGTCGCCTGAACAAACTTCGAAGAACCTCCTAAAAGGACAACTTCAACAACCAAAGATTCACCTACCTTCCGTTTGGTTCTCTTGGAAATGACAATGTGCATGTTCTGTAATTGCGCCAGCAGCATTGCAGGCTCACGCTGACACTCCCCATCGAAAAAAAGGAAGTCACAACAAGCTTCGGGCGCAATGCCACACTGCTCCGCAACATCCTGAATGGAATCATACAATGCGCAGTGAACATCACATACGACACCATCAGGCTTGACTACATGGACAACTGTGCGCAGACTGAGACCAAATTCTGATTGTGGAGATTCTGGCCATGTTGCTGTGATTGATTCTTCACCTACCGTACTCGGACACTCAAACCGATCATTGCATGGCAAAAACACAGGCGTAACCTCAGCACGTTTGTCAGCAATGACATCCTGGTGGAAAAAACACTTCTGCAAATCCTCGCTCCAGAGCCCAAACAAAGGGATGACATGTTTCTGCATTCCCAAAGATTCGCACAACTCTCCCACTGTGGTACCATGTCGAACCCCAAAACATGATGAGGACTGGTTAGGCCACACCACTTTCCAAAAGCAATCAGCATCTTCATGAAAAACAGAATCGCTCTTAATGACATCTCGCGTCATCAAGAAATCTCTTGGCTTGAGAATTGCGAACCCCTCATCGACTTTGACAAACACAGCTTTCTTGGAAGTAAGTCTGGAGTCCCACATCTGAAGGAGCAATGATTGGATAGGCAAAGGTTCATCGCGTTGTGTGAGAAGATCTATCGCTAGCAAAGTTGCCAATCCTGCATGAGGAAGAGCAGTACAATTTCCGAGGACTTGGTACATCATCTCATGGTCTTTCGGGAGGAACAGGTTGATCCTATTTCCTAGCAAAGCAGTCCACATCCCTGGCGACTGAAACGCAACTCTGCCCTGAGAGTCAATGACCAAATCTGCATAAATGCCCTGATGTTTCAATGTGGAAGAAGGCAAAAAATGCTGAGTGGAATACGAAGCAAGGCATGTTTGTAGCGGTTGATCTCTTGGGGCCAGTCTCAACAAAAGCACTTGACTGCTAGTGGCGTTCTCATCGCATCTATTCCGCTTACAGCAAGGCAGAAGCTCAAAGCATGCGTACGAAGGCATCAAATATTGGTTGATAATTAGAGCATCCTCTAACACCTTCGGAATAGCAAACTGGTTTTCAAGAGCATGCCATGGACTCACGAAACCCTCGTGCAAATTGAAGGCTGCCTTCAGCACTGGATGATTGTCATCAAGGTCATTACGGAGCAAAATCCCGAGCCATCGGCTACGGGTGTTGTCAGTCAAATCCTTGGCATTGACCACTTGCGACCAAACCAACTGATAGCCTGCCCACTTTGCAAAACTTTCAAAAATCCTAAAGTGCTCATGGGATTGAAACGCATCCACATTTTCCATCAACAAGGCCATTGGCCTGATGATTCTGGCTGCTTTCAAGACATGAACGACCACTCTGCCATCCTTGGCATTGAACCCGCTTGGCATAAGATTGGCGCTGGAAAAAGGTTGGCACGGGGTCGACACAGTCCAAACAAGGTTGCAAGGATTGTGCATGCTACTCATCCACACATGTTGTTCAATCTGAGCGCAAACCACGGTGTTACGTTTGAGCGACTTGGTGATGGATCCCCATGGAAAAAACACTATTTGAGCATCACAAGTGCGAGCAGCCAGTCGGCAGATTTGCTCATCAGAGTCAACAGCTACACTTGACACCACATGAAATCCTACGATGGTTTCTTCACAGAACTGAACAGCCCGACCCCATCCATGAAAGGCACCGGAACACAAATGAGCAAAGTTGAAAACTCCTACAGGGTCTGCAAAGGCAGTAATCCACATATGCTCACAAGACCGGATGGTCGCAACACGCTTTTCATATGCAAATGACAGACTGGCACGACAAGCAAAAATCTGACCAATTTCAAGACTCCAACACGGCAACTGCGGCACATGAAGCGTAGCAGCACAAACACGTTTGACTTCACGACAAGGGCCAGACAAGTGCATGAAATTGGCAGGTAAGCCTTGGTCTAAAAGCCACACTTCAAATTCAGTCGACCACTGGGAAGCGACCTCAAGATGAAGAAGGCAATCACCTTTCCAAGCACGTGGATCGTCATCTACCAAAAATTGACACTGAGTCACAATATCATCCAGATCATTCAACGCAGAACGACACAAGGAAGCAAACGCCATCTGTCCCAAATTACAACTCCAGCTCAACCGTCAAGCACAATGAAGCGCAGAACCACACAATCAATCGGGGCAACTGAAGAGACAGTTGTGGTTGACAAGTGACCCAAATGTAGCCACCTCCCGGGCCCCCAGACCCTGAAACCGAATGGCTGGTGAGCCAGACAGCTTTTTGAATCAAATGTGTTGCTCACAATCATCTTGTTGAAAATGTCTAGTTGATACTGCAGCACCCCCCTGCGTAAATCAAGATCTCAACCAAATTCCGCGTGCGTCCGCGCACCTTCCAAATTTCAATGTTGTTGAGACCACCGCCTTAGATTCAGAGAGGGAAAATGTTGGAACAGGAATGGGTTCGCCTGCTGAACCGTCCAATCCCCATGGCCAGGACAAAAACATATTTCCCAACCACTGTGCGAATTCTTGCGGTGTTGGGGACTTGTCATAAGGAGTGCCCTTCCTCGGTTTCCAGTCAAGATTGCGCGCGTGAAGTCTATTGAGACCGTTGAACTGTCTCAAAATTTGTTCAGCTGGCTGGTTCCGTTTCCGGTGCAAAAATTGACGGGTTCTCATTTGCAACATTTTTTAAATTGTTTTCGTTTCCCCGTTTGTTCTCGCATGTCGCCAAACTCGATGGGCGGAGACGCTGCGCCTGCTCTTCTTCAACAAACCCACCAAAAAGTTAAAAAAAATGTGACGTTACAGATCTGCATGCTTCGGACTTTCAAGATGTTCATTCCGCCCCATCCATTATTCGGGACGTCCGGCCCGAGTGTTCTTACGGCCCGTGTGTTACTACGAGGCTACGGGCAATAACGCCAGGGATGGCTCTGGGGACTTCGGTGCCTTCAGGCGCCTCCTCCAGGATAGCGCGCTTGGGCCGGACGTGGAATCTCATGAGGCAATTGGGACGTGCTAGGTACGGGATAGCCAAAGGATAGTAGCAGCAGCTACCCTGGGTTTGGCTTTGCCTGCCAATTCGCAAATGGGAAAGGTGGACCATTTGATTCCCTCTCAACAAAGTATTTTCGTTGCGACCATGGTCAATCAAGGCCACCCGACAAGAAAAACAACAGCGACAACAGGGACAAGATAAACCAACAGGATTGTATTCAGTCAAGCGCATCGAGGAGGACATCTCCTGGAGTCTTCCATAAATCGTGGTGCACGCGCTTCTGGTGAAACCGCGACCATTGCTAACCTAAAAATTTTGCAGAGCAACCGGGGCAAAACACATCAGACCAAGGGGGCCCCAATTTTGAAAAGAACACCGTTTATTCCAAAATGTTTTTCGCCTCCTTTGCTCGGGGTGGCAAAATGTTGCAAAAATATTGTCTGCGCGGGTGTTATAATAAGTTCATCGGCAAGTGCGCCTCTTGCTGTTTGTTTTTTAAGGTTCGTGATTTTCAAAAATGGCAGCCACAAGGCTCTAGATTTGCGTGGGCGTTCCCGTAATATGAGATACCACCAGTTGAGAGTCAACCAACCCCGCAACGCCGCAACTCTTCAGCAGTGGGTCGGTCAGCAAACTTCCTCGATTCCTTCAAATCATCTGTGCGCAATGCAATTTCCAAATCAAAACGTGCTGAAGTCTTTCCAGGTGTGTGACCCGCGATTTGTGTGACTTCAGATTTGGTGGGCGCAAAGCATTCCAAGGCACCGACTACATGACAACGAACAAAAGGCACAAACACAATCGTAAGAGTGCTGACACTCAAACTCTTGTTGCGCCAGATTTGTCGGGCCAAGCCATTGAATGCGCTTCGCACGCAGCGCACTGGATTTGCAATTCCACGCCTGTTTGTGTGAGCGAAGGCCGCGTGATCCACAAGATATTTTTCACGCTCAATCAACAATGGCACGGTACCATCCATGCTGGATATGGGAGTAGGCGATTCCAACGCTCATGACTGTTGACCTTTGGGCATCGACGCGTCTAATAGTTTCAAATTTGGAAAGGTTCGTACACAACTCCTCGGAATCAGCAATCTCACAGAAACCAAAAATTTTGCACAAGGTGTGTTGTAGGCTGGCAACAATTGAAGCATCGGCATAGGTCGCATCTGCCACATCAAAACTGGTGATGTTACGGTTGTCAGGCGCAATGGGGGATTGCAGGGTAGCTTCCGTACTAGCATGCACAACTAAGGGATACCGACTGTTGAACGGAACCAGCCAGAGTGACACAAATCGCGAACAAACGCGGATTGTTCAATAAGATCAGACAGTAAGAATTCCCATGATATCTTGTTTTTGGACTGTAAAGCCGCCAGGGTGTGTGTGTGTAACATCTGAACAGATGTAAAACTTCCTTGGCTCTTACTGTTTTACATTAGCAGGGAACCTTTTTATATTGGCAGGGGGACTGGAGCCGATTTGCCTATCCAGTCCAACGAAGCTATGGCATTTCGGTGGATGAGTGGTCTGATCAACCACTTGTACCTGCAAAACTCTGTTTGAACTGTTGACCAAGCTGTTACACTGCGTTGTTTCAAATCTACACGGTTGCCACAATCTGTATTGCATGCATCAGAACCTTCCTCAGATTTTCGCCGAAACCGTGTCGCCGACAGTATTATGGTTTTAATTTATTTTCGCCGAGATCATGTCGCCGATGAACTGTGGGTCATGTTGGGAAACAATCGCCGATACATTATTATTTTGGATTTTCAACATGCTGGTCAAAACTTTGTGGACTCTGGTTAAAACTCCGTTTGACAACATTGGATGCCCTACATCGTTTTCGAGAAGTACCTCATGAGGCTCCTTTATAAATCTAACGATCTAGGCTGGTTTGCATGTTTCAGGATTCAGTTCCTGCCGGAATCATATAATGATCCATTCTTGTCTAGTGTGATTTCCATGGTGGCTCCGACATGGTGCCATGGAGCCATTTGAGGCAACCCTTTTCAGGGTGAGTGATGACTGTCTTGACTGCCGAATTAACACATTTTAATTTGGTAATTCATCTAAGTAAATTGCAACAGCTGGCCTTACTGTTTTCCAGCCTTTTCAGGGTTGTCCTGCTGTTCCTGTTGTCCCAGGGATTACTCGCCGATGCGTTTCTTCAACTGTGTAGCCGTTCTGAATTGCCAGAAACCTCCGGTTTTGCAGCAACTTTTGCAGCTACATTGCATCACGTCATGATACAAGTACCAGGCAGGCTCACGACTTTCAGGTGTGATGTCTCTTTCTTTTGATGGTTGTCTGGTGAGGTGAAACATATTGTGCATCTAATTCGTTGGAACTTGGAAGCTGTTTTATGCCATTGCGGCAAGACTTGACCACGGTCCCGGTGCAGGGAATAATCGCACGACATTTTAGGCATCTAGGGACTGAATCCTGTATGTGATAGTCCACATTTTGTTTTGGCCTACTGGAGCGATGCATCCGTGGAACACTCCGCCAACGTCATGGCCTACTCCACCGCAGCCTGCAAACCCATCTTCGACGTGGCAGCAATCAGCGCCGAATGCACATCTATTTGGACATCCCTCGGCCTTGCATCCTACATGGTCTCCCTCAGCTTCGCTCATGCCGGCTACATCGACCCCAACATCGTTGCCGTTCACCTCATTGTCTTCGGCTCCTCATGCAGTACCAGGCCCACAGCTCGTACCTACCATGCCCTCGCCTTTGGCCCCTGAACAACCTATGGTGCACACCGCTCCGTCGACTTTCCCATCTCCTACGGCACCCACCGCTCCACCAACGTGGCCTTCTCCTCCGGCTCCATCCCCTACATCGACTACACCACCTACACCGACTATGCCACCGACACCTTTGCCCAGTTCTCCATACCCACCTCACCACATTCAACCTCCATTACAGATGGACGCATCGATGGTCTCTCCAAACGAGCCTTCACCACGGGCCCCAGCAGTTAAGGCAGCTCCCAGACTTCGCTCAGACAAAAGACCGGATCGACCACGCAGACCAGCTCCAAAAGCCCATCCTCCCGCTACACCACCAACACCTACGGCAGCACCGACTTCATCCGTGTCACCTGAACTGGTCGCATTGGGCTCCACTACCCAGCAACTTGCGGAATCTGTTCGACTCATTCAAGCTCAGCAACAATTGATCATAGACTCTCAACGAGCCCAAGAACAACGTCAGCTCCTTCTCCAACAAGATGGACCTCCACCGAACCCTATACCACCGACGCCACCACCTACAACTACACCACCACTGATCGCCACGCCTCCACCTGCACCGAAAGCCAGACCCACCGAACCGGACGTTCCGGACCCTCGCATTGTCCAAGCTCCAGCCATCGCTCCTCCTCACCAACTACAAGTTCCACCATCATCAACACGCCGACCACGATCCAGGACTGCAAGATCACGTTCTCATCGACCTTCTGTACATTCTCATCACCACCGCTATTCTCCTCAACGTGCAGCTCGACCTCGTTCTCCTCTTCCTCGTCACCGATCATCCACGAAACACGCCAAGGACCGCAGAACCCCATCTCCATACAGAAGACGATCACCGCCACGACGCCGCTCTCCTGTGGTTCCTCGACGTCATCGATCTCACCCACGCCCACGTTCCGAGACACCACGTCACCGATCCAAAGGCCGTGAAGTCGTACTTCGACCAGCTGCAAACCCATCCAATCCGAACTACATCCCTACTCCTGA